TTTTTTTTTTTTTTTTTTTTTTTTTTTTTTTTTTTTTTTTTTTTGTTAGATTTAGATTTAAAATAAGGTACCTTACCTGGATAAGAAGAAGGATTTTGCGCCTGGACGAACAGGGCAGCACTAAGAGCGCACAACAAGGTTGCAAACATGGCCATTTTTCCTCTCGCAGCGTCTGTCTTCTCAAACAAAAGCACCGGACCGAAGTGTCAAAACCGTCGCCTTGCTCGCTTTAAATAGACGCCTCGATGACAAAGAATTTGATTCGAAGTTGATGATGATTCGGTCGCCATGGCCCCATAAACTTCTGATGTGAATCCGACACGAATGCTGGTGGCCGTAAAAACACGTTCACACAGTGCTCACATTGAGCGCATGCAAAATGACGCTTAGGCCCGATTCACTAGTGTCAACCCGAGCTATATCCTCTTCTCAGCAACGCCTCACTCTCAACTCGTAAGATCAAGAATTTATCATTTTATTTAGTTTTTTATTGGTTATTACAATTGTCATCGTCTACGTAGTTTGGACCTTCTCGTGTTCGGTCTATATTAGACCAGTGTGAACGCACTTTTGTGGCTCTCAATCTCATCTGCATTAAAACAATTAGTCCATGGTGTTTGTAGGCCTATTAATGAGTTTTAGTCAAGCATACCACAGGACAGTCCGTCCATTTGATTTGATTGGTCGCATCATTGTTGTTAAAGGCTGTCAAGTGTATCGACAATAGAGAGCTCAGATGTACGCGACCCTTAACGTGTCCTTACACGAGAGACGCGGCGTCGCTGAGTGAGGCGTATTGTCTTTATTAAGACCAGTTACCACTTGACACCTGTCCTGAGAGCAATAGGCTATATACTAATTGACACGAGACGGCAGGTTGCCTCNTTGGTTATTACAATTGTCATCGTCTACGTAGTTTGGACCTTCTCGTGTTCGGTCTATATTAGACCAGTGTGAACGCACTTTTGTGGCTCTCAATCTCATCTGCATTAAAACAATTAGTCCATGGTGTTTGTAGGCCTATTAATGAGTTTTAGTCAAGCATACCACAGGACAGTCCGTCCATTTGATTTGATTGGTCGCATCATTGTTGTTAAAGGCTGTCAAGTGTATCGACAATAGAGAGCTCAGATGTACGCGACCCTTAACGTGTCCTTACACGAGAGACGCGGCGTCGCTGAGTGAGGCGTATTGTCTTTATTAAGACCAGTTACCACTTGACACCTGTCCTGAGAGCAATAGGCTATATACTAATTGACACGAGACGGCAGGTTGCCTCTCTCTCTCTCTCTCTCTCTCTCTCTCTCTCTCTCTCATAAGTTCATATACACTATTAAAGTAGAGCTCATACTGCTCTTTTAGTTCTTAAGTCAGAGGGCGTTCAAGCATTACATGCCCCTCTGTTTGCACTGAAATCCCGCAAACACACGGTCTATCCTCTCTAGTACATGTAATAGGTACGGGCCCATCGCCCAGTCTCTATAGCCAGGTTACATGTATGTGACAAAGTGGGATAACGTGTAAATGATATAACCTCTTGTACTCTGGGATATCAACGGTTTGGTTGCATACACTATGAGCTACAGTTGAGGATTTATTGACTCTCGATACACAGTAATTTTGGGTCCTTTTTTTTTTTTTTGATGAACTTTTTTCCCTTAATTCCATTTTCCAAATCTTCCTCTGCAGTAACCTGTCATATATTTAAAGCCCTTTGTCTTACTAATTACGCAGAGGTTCCATGCAAAAATGAAAGGGTAATCTATAACCCACCTTCTTTAGGACATAAACTCTGCAGTGGCGGACTTCAGGGGAGTCAGGTGGGTCCTAACCCCCCCCCCCCCTTCGATTTCTTAAAAAATCATACCAATGGTGCCCTCTTGAAATTAGAATTTTGACTAGATGAATCATGGTTCTAAACAGTACCAAATAGCACCCTCCGCCCTCAAAATACCAAATTTTTGGGGCCTTTCAGCGGGCTCCGAACCCCACACCAAGGGGGGGGGGTCGGCTTTGCATTAACGGA